AAGACCTGAATTGCAAGCCGACACTCTCCAATCCGCTGTCCCTCTTGTTTGCCCGCAGCACTCCCACCACTCTATTAATCCTAGTGAAATCTCCCTCGTACATTTTCTCCTTCTCTTTTACGTGCCACCAAACTTTCGCTGCATGAATTTCCAATGCCGCATGCATTGATCCGGTGCCAATAAGATAGTCATCTCCATACGTTAACCCTATCAATGTAGCTGAATAAGTTGAAGTTCTATCATAATATGTATCGACAAAAGAATAACCCAATTATTTATAACACATATAAGATTTTTTTTTCTTCGATATGTTCACACTCAACACTGTGAAAACACATTGCTTCTGCCTTTTTTGTGTACATAGCACACTCGTGAAAAAATTTATGGATCTGCCACTGGAAGTGAGTGGAAGATGTTGAGGCTGGCGCACCATCATCAAAATTTGCTTTCTTTTAAATAATGTGTTTTATGCTTTTTTTGTTTTGTTTTTTGTTTGTTTTACATTTGAAGGAAAGTAAATTTTGGTGGTGGTGCGCGACTTGCTCCGTCATGTGAAATTATTAAGATCATGTTATTTGAACATCATATCACAAGGGTGATGTTGAGGCGACATTTGTATGAGAAATTAGTAACAACATGAAACATACATTTAGATTAGTAGTTGAGGTTGGTATTGGAGGCTTGGAGCACATGTATATGTTGGAGTTTATCGTAATAGCCAATACATGTTACAAATGTTTCAAAAATGCTGCGATTAGAATAAATTAAGATATTGGGGGAAACTAATATAATATATTCGTATACCGTTATTCAAAAGATGATTTTCCTTTCAAAGACCTTTTACATCAAATATATTTCTATGTTTGTTCGGATTAAAATCATAGTCAATAACGAACAACTGTATTTATATTTTTGATGTCTTGTCGATTATAGTGCTTTTGTTTGTTCTTGCACTATTGTGATTTTTTGGATGTCCATATTTTTGATATCTTAGAGCTTTTTCAATGGTGTTACATTGATTGTCATTTCTCAATATCCACTTAGTGATGCCCTCCAAGCAATATGGCTCCAAATCTTGTTTGGTCAATCCTAGGAAGATTTAAACAGCTGACTCTCCTGAACTTATACATGATTTCATTGTGCATTGACAGTTCTAGAATCTGCTTATCTGAGTTCGTCACAGGTTAAGCTATGTGTTATTATCGAATATGTGAGTTAATTTGGGCTTAAAATCATTTAATAAATGATAAGTAAATTTATTTTCAGTTACACATTCATTTGTACTCTCTCATATGACACACCCCGATCCTAGAATCAAGGCGTGCTGGCCGTCACGTGAGCGTGACGTAGCCAAAAGTGCGACATGGAAGCAAGATATAATAGAAATATGAAGGAATTTAAAACAACCACTAGCAGTAATAACCTACTAGCATAAAAGAGTGAGTTATAAAGTAAAACACACGAATTCAGAGCGTAGGTATCAAGTGCAGTCAAGTAGGACTATAATTAAAAGTACAACACCCGCATGTGAGTCCTACATGCAGAACGTCTGTCAGAACACCGAAAAAGACCTCGTGAGCCACCAACTGCTAACTAGAACCTGGATGGGCGCAAAACAAAGATGAGTGGGTCAGTAAAACCAAAGATTTTCCAAAACATTTCATTTAAAACATTTCTAATCCCTCACCGTAAAACTTGTATACTTTCCCAGAAATATAGTATATAAACATATAGATATATCACCAACAGCTCAAATCCCAATCCTTCAACGCTTTTCAGAAAGAATAAGCCATGCCATGCCAAAATATAATATGAATACATCAATATAAATCAGGTGAAATAATAAATCAACCGGAGACCCTACAGTGGTCCTGTACGGCTGATTCTATAGCTCAATATCCCACTCAGCCGGAGTCACCACAGTGACCTATACGGCCCTACTCTGCACGTCACTCGGAACTACGTAAGGTAGTCTGTACGATGAAAGGTGTAAGAATACGCTCTAGGGCTTCTCTCATCAATCATCGGCGCGCATAACTAAGGTCACCCACTAGTCGGAATTACACCTAGTGATCTATACGACTAGCATGTCGGAACCCTCACATGGTCTGTGCGACATTCACCTACTTGGATCCAAGGCGAGCGTGCGGTGTGGTGAATAATATAAGCACTAACACCTAGGGTGCAGGTTATGAGCTTCCAATGCAACTCACATAAAAGTAAATCGTATGAATAATGTAAAAACTCACCTGTGCGTCCACCGCGTCAATTCATATATATATGCATCAATTATCAATTCAAATATCTCATCGATTGCATGCATGGCATTTTAAACATATTTTCATATAAATGCATTTTCTGGGAAAAACAGTAGTATATAGGTAATACGAAAACAAAACTGCCCACTCACTGGTAAGTCGATGGGTCGTAACCCCCGTGATGTCCCTGGATGCGCTCGTCCTCGGGATAGGTGTCACCTATATGCGAAACAACTATAAAAACGTTAATTAAAACACATAACCAACAATTCGAAATAACTTATCATACGGTGCTCAATTTGGGTATATGAATATACCACATCGACCTACTCGACGTCACGGACGTCGAGAAATTTTTAGAAAAAATTTTGGGCTTTTCACGCGCCCCCACGCGCCGTGGGTGGCACGGACCTACGCGCCCCCACGCGCGTCTTCTTCCTCAGCCAGTCGCCGGACTGGTTTTTCCGGTGGCTGGATTCCGGCGAATTTTGTAATTGCTTGTTCTCCTTCGTTTCTCAACCGTTTTCTTCGAATTTTATATCAAAATGAAGCCCTAAACATGTAGTTTCACGCTATACTACTTTAAGGCTCTAAAAATCACGAAATCTCATTCGAGAAATCCCACGAAAACCGGCCAAATTTGAACGTGGTGATCCCGACGTCCAAAATTTCCAAACGAACGTCCCCGAGCTTCCTTAGAACCTCACTAAGCTCACTGTGAGGTTGGATTGTCCTAAAAATCAACCAACACAAAGTTCATGAATAGTGCCACATTCGGTCCTCGAGTTTTCAACGTGAAAACGAAGGATTTCTTACCTGAAAATGGTATCTTTGAGTTCGTAGGACACTTACGAACACGATAATGCTAATCTCCACGTCGATCCATGAAGTTTCAGGGGTTTTTGACGTTGGTCCGTACGTTTCGAGAGGAAGAGAGAGAGAGAGTGTCGTGAGGGAAGAGAGAGAAGACACGGGGGAAGGAAAATGAGAAGTGTCCCGTGTGTGTGGGTGTGATCCATCCAAAAATAACAAGTCCAGCTCACATCCCTAGCCACACAAACATACATATCACTTTATTAAATCAAACTTAGTTCATTTCCAAAAACTTAGGAATGTATGTATTTAGACCAAAAATATATGTCTCACACACATACCTTAGTACCCGATAAGGGTATTTTCGTCATTTCACGCTCCCGATATGAAAATCTCGGGACGGGCTGTGACACATATCTTCTTCACCTCGATCTCATCCAGGTTATCTTCTTCTATCTCGTCTTCATCTTACAATTTTCTCATAAATTTTCGAATCAATCAGACACAATAAGTGCCCCAAGAACGACAACCACTCATCAACCAAAATGTGTTCGACAAATTCTTTGCTATACACTACAATGGGATTTCAGACTTCTTTTTTCTCAGTTTATCTAATGAATATAAATATATTATTGCTAAGCAAATACTTTCAAATTCCATTACTTCTAATCCCATCATTACAACCTCTTTTCTATTTACAAACAAGAAACTTGAAAAACTTACCTGTGTTATATAGCAAATGAATAACTTCATGAACAAATAATTGTCATTGATATTTTCCTATGGATGCTTATGACATTGGGTTAACATCAAATTTTCTATAAAAAAAATGATATCAAAATATGAATAATATGTGCAAGTGGTCATTTACCATAGTGGTGGAAAAATGTTGAACCCTTAAGCCCTTGCATGATGGCGTGGGTTCAAACCCGTCGGTGACTAATCTTACCGCTAATCTAACAAAATATATCGATTAACAAAAAAAGAAAAAGAAAAAAAAATAATAATATGTAGGTCAACAGTTTATTAGTTGGTTAGTTCAATCCAATTATTTTATGTTTGGGGTTAGATCAATTAAGCTAGAACAGTGTGGTCGCTCCTTTCACCTATGTTTAGTTCCCGTCGCCGGAATTAGAGCCTCTGCACAATACAAAATCTGATGGCTCGGGCTCGATTGCAAGTTCGAGCTAGAAGCCCGTTTTGCTCTTGCCCATTCAATTGGGCTTTCTCAAACCCAATGGGCCTGAAGTTGCTCTAACAAAGTGGATCTCATCTTCATAAGTGTTGTTTGTAAGTTTAAGTTTCAATTCTGGACGTGTATCAATTTTACAAATGACTCATACCATATATAAAGTTACCATAAAAGGCTCAGTGATTTCTTAAGGAAAATCATTATTTGCTTTGGACACCCGTAGAGTTCTGAAACAAAAAAATTCATTATTTTTATTACAACTTATCACTTATGTTTCGCAATGTCTTCTGGAACTCAATATCAATGTCTTGAAATGCAAATTACACCCCTTAATATCTAAAACTCGATTTTCATCTCACTTTGTCACTTTCTGTCAGTTTTATTATGACATTTGTCAAGTCTCCGACGAGACATGAATAAGACCCTCTTACATGGTGACATATTTGCCACCTCATTGCCATAACAGGTTAAAACTATACGTAATATTGGAAATGGATCATCTTCAGATTCCTTTCGCTTAATCCATCAAATCAGGGAATCCGTGCCATTGAAAATTAATCCAACGATTACAAAAAGGGTCTTACTTTAAAAGTTATAATAACTTCAACTGTTAGATCAAATTTTAACTGTACGAATTCCTTGATTTGATGAATTATGAGGAATTTCCCGTAATATTTTAGAAATGTAAAAAAAAAGAAAAAAAACATTAAAGAATCACTTAAAAAAAATAAAAGAAGGAAATTAAAAATGAGATCCGGGGGCGAGACAAGTGCAGACGACCTGAAACTTGAGTACCCGGATCGCTCCCAACCCGCTTCGTTTTCGGGTCGGTTCTGAATCCCGGTACTGCCTTGCCTCGCCATCCAGATTCCAGAGAGATGGCAGGACTGCTAGCATGGGCAGCAGACGTAGTGGGAGGAGGTGGAGGGCAAGACAACGAAGAAGACATCCCACTGATATTCACTCAGGAGCAGCAGAAGTACGTCCTGGACTTGAATCGCAAAGCATCTTCTCTCAGCCGTTCGATCCATGATCTCCGGCTCAGACTCCCTCCTTCCGACATCTCCCAGCGCCTCCCTGATCTTCACGCCCACTCCCTCGCTTCCAACGCCGCCCTTGCTCTCCAATTGAACGCCCATTCCACCACCCGCGAACAGGTCCGGCTCGGTTCGTTTTAGTTCTCGAATTTCGATTGATTTTTCTTATCTGGGTTGTTGATTTTTGTTATGATTCTTATTGAATTTGGATGTTCTGATTCGAATTCGGTGGTTTTTGTATCTGGGTTTTTTGTTTGGATTGTAATTTTTGTGTACAACTTTGAATTGTTGCACATATTCTTCTAATTTTGAAACTTTCTTATCTGGGTTTATGTGATTGTTTATTTTTTGCTATGGCAGTCGTGTAGTTTAAGTTTTGAGTAATCGAAAAGGCGCTGTTTTTCTCTTTTAGTTTTCTTTCTTAATAGTTCCGATTTGTATTTGTCAACAGGCACAGTTGAGGGAGGTGACATTGCAGGAAGAGAATGCTGCATATGAAAGGGCAATATCGAATTGTGAAAGTAAAATACAGGAGAAAATTCAAGAAGCGGATTTGCTTAAGAGGAAGCTAATGGTGAGCCTTGAGTTTCCCACAACTTATTTTTGCACGATGCTCTTATTCATCATGTATTCTAGGCCTACACATGTATTATAATCTTGTATCTGATGACATTGAGTAATATCGTATTTTTGTTAATGGAAACCACACTTTTTCTGATTTTTTTATATTCTTGTTATCAGGAATTGGACGAGAATGAAAGGAATTTGAGATATGAACTTGAAAATGCACAAACTGCATTGGATGCCAGTCGATCTGGTCAATCAGATGAATCCACTGGTGACCCAAAGACGACTGTTGAAACTGAAAATGACATAGAAGCTTCAAAGAAGGCTGTAATTGAAAAGTTAGAGGAGAGGAAAAAAGAACTGGTCAGTCTCATCTTCCTTTTGATCTTACAGTTGTTTCATCTTCGTTCATTGCAGATGCGTTTGTAATTTGGATTTATTTTATCTCGATTGCTGAAAAGATGTTGTGATCTCTCAGAGTTCAATGGAAGCAGTAGTGAAAGATTTAGAGCAAAAATGGACAGAAATTCAAGATATTGCATTGAGTCAGCCTTCGCCAGGTAGATATAGTACATTAATCATCTGATTTGTTTTATATATAGTGTTTGTTTGCTGTTTGAATGCATTTATACTTTCAATTTACAATGGCCATTTAGTTATTTTTTGTTTAGATGTATTGTTGGTCATAGGAACATTCAAGCAAATAAGGTTTACACAAAATTAGAAACAGAAAAATGTTGAACAAGAAAATGGGGAACGGGTAAGAAATTTATGGTTAGTTGAGTTCTTTACTTCTGTTTTTGGGTCGACTTTATAAAAGTCAATCTTAGTTGTGCATATATTGCCTTTTGGAATCTCAGTGGTGCATATGGTGCAGCATGTGGCTCTTGTATAAACTCATTAACCGCTTCTCGGCTGAATTTTGCAAGTAAACTATCAGTCATTCTAGTTTGTATGACTAATTTGTAAGCAATTTATTTTGTGCAGTGCAAAGAGAGAAGATTTTGGATAAACAACTGCACAGCCTAATTGAGCAGCTAGAAGCAAAACAGGTATCCCCGTAACTTTTCAGTAGTATTTGAATTTTATTATTTCTCAGGTGTCATTTGTATTATTCTCTGTTCATACATGGTAAAAAATTTGTTCATTGTTATCTGAGTGTTTATAGGCACAAGCAGAAGGCCTGGTCAATGAAATTCATTTGAAAGAGATGGAGCTAGAAAGATTGAATGCGTTGTGGAGAAATCTTGAAAGTAGCAACATAGAAATGAATACTGCTAGAAATAGGTTTGGACGGAGTGCATCAGGAAAAGGACCTGCTTCGTCTGATTATATCCTTGACGCTCATCATAGAAATGCCGATGGCCGAGCAGAGAATCAGCAAAAGCTCATGCTGCTCAGGTCGGGTTTTGTGCTTTACATTTTAGCTTTGAACATCTTGGTCTTCATCAAGATCTCATTTTGAAGAGTGTTCCATGAAGACGCTATTAATATTTCCAAATTCTCTTTGTATCTTAAACCCAATATCTCTTGTATTGTAAAAGAGGGGGTGTGAAGAACTTTGTTGTATGAAATATTCTTTGTTTCAAATATTGAACGTATATAAATAAAGAAAGTTACTTTGTTTTACTAGTTATTTTGTAAGACTCAATTCTCTTGGAGTGATCTTTCATTTTCGTCCCTCAACTTTTTTGTTTTGTTTTCCGTGGTCCTCAAACTCACTCTCGCATGACATTTTGATCCTTTCCGTTAACTCCACTCATTTTTATAGCGGACACCAAAATCACCGGCAAAACATGTAGAGCAGTAGAAATCCAATTGAGGCATATTAGTCTGCTAATTTTGAATCCAGTATTCAGCAAATTTTATTAACCCGGTAATGCAACAAATTCATTGTGACGTTGTGGATTGATAGGCGCGTCTTCTTTCATAGCTGAGGAAGCAGAGAGCGAGCGAATAGAGAGCGAAAGAGAAAGAAGGCAGCCAAAGCTACCATGGAGGCTCACGCAGCACAACCAGCGAGCAGAGCCAACCCCCAACCATTACAGTCATGAGACGCGCGGGTGGATAGAAATGCCTATAGATGAGGTAGGTGAGGGTAGCTAGCCGGCAAGGGGAGTGTATGGTAGTCTATTTTTTGTTTATGAAAACGAGAAGGGCAATTGACTGCAAAAAAACCGTACTAAGAAAGAAATAGATAAGCTTCGATTAACAAAAAAACTTGGACTAGTAGAACTAAATTTGCGCGCTGCTAAACATAATCAAGCGTACTGCTGAATCATTACGTGAACCAAGCCCAAGGATGAAAGGTTTCTTCCTGTTATCAGGCATGCTCGCAAATAGCTTTCTCCAAGTTGCATCACCGTGGAAAAGCTTCACAAGCTTTTGAATATCATCGTCAAAGTTCCTCCATGTTGTTCAAACTTTCCAAGCATAGCACCATTTCTTCATATCTGCAACATCTTATGCAGCTGATTGAACATCGTCACTTGAACTCTCGGCAATTTCTGTCATTCTCTGAGTCATTATTTTCATCTTTTGAATCTGAGGGAAGCCTGCCTATTGCTGCTCGAAGAAGCATGGGATCATCATGCAGTTGCTCTAGTGAAGCCTGTGAGGATAATCTGATTCAGGTATTTGGGCAAATGTGGCTCTCTAGTGACAAATTTATGGTCATGTTGTTCCTGGGATGCGATTCCAATAGGTTTTACATATAGAGATGGAGGTTCAGGTGTATCTCCAAGGGCCTAATCTAGGCAAATTCATTTTGGTGCATGCCCTTGTATGGAAGAATCTTATATCCGCCTCTCCTTATGCGTAAATTCGGAATGAAGTCAATTCTGAAGTACGTGAATACGATATAGGGATTTTTTGTGGAACTTCAAGAGCATGTGTAAATGTGCCTCATAAGCCAACTGATTTGAAAGGACAGATGTTAAAATTTCTCCTTTTAAATATCAACACATGGTAATAGTAATGCACTAATTATATATGAGTAAACTGTCGATTTGCCCCCTGAACTATCACCCAACTTTCGATTTGCCCCCTGAACTTTTTAATTGGAAAATTAAGGACTTAAACTAATTTTTTTGGCCGATTTCCCCCTACCGTTAGTTTTTCATAAATTTCATCCAAATTAACGTTAACTCTTATCATGTGCAAACCACGTAACTCTCATTTGTGGACAAAAGCGTCATTTCACTAGACCTTCAGACAAAAAAACTATAGAATCACACATATTTGCATAGGTTTATATTTTAGAAATCTAAGGTTTTCAATTATTTTAAAGAATGAAGTGATCGAACTACCCACACATGTTGTGCATATGCTTCCATTTAACAGAAATTTGGATGGAATGAATGAAAAATTAACAGCAGGGGGCAAATCGGCCAAAAAAATTAGTTTAAGTCCTTAATTTTCCAATTAAAAAGTTCAGGGGGCAAATCGAAAGTTGGGTGATAGTTCAGGGGGCAAATCGACAGTTTACTCATTATATATTGAGAGTGGTCATTCTTTTACTATTTCAGAAGGCTGTGTTTGCCTGAATAGATTACTCAACATGTGAGTTAAGAAATTATTTTACATTTGCTCAACTTGCTAAATTCGTCAACTTAAGTTTTTACTCAAAACTGAAATAAGACTTTGCGTTGGTCAGTTCGTCCAACCTGAATCCCAATATTCCAATCACCAAAGTGGTAGAACGAATTCTAGACCTGTATCTCACACGACATGTTTTGGGTTCGATTTTTGCCGTTGGTGAATCACACAATGGTGGCCAGAGAAAGATGAAATGCCTCTGTAAGTTTTTCTAACCCCAAAAGGGTAGAATGCCATAGAAAAACTACAATCATTCAGCCTTACAGATGTGCTTTATCTCATGATCATATTATATCAACGCTAGTATATATCCATTAATATTATAAAACTTAAATTAATAACATCATCATCACGCTAAAAAATTAAAGTTTGTGTGTAAGAACAAATGGTGCGTTTGAGAATCATATTTCATGTAACACCGAAATTAATACTGTAATGAACAACAAAATTTCGCTGTCGTCCGATTGTCCATACGCTTTCGAAATATTAGGAAGTAAACTACTCACCTAAACTTAATACAAAAATATACCAGTAGCCAGCAAACACCAGCAAATTTTTGCAAGTACGTTGTCTTTTTCACCAATATAGTGCTAGCATAATCATAATAACTCAAATCTATGTATCTACCACATGCATCGAGCACTTTTTTATCATTATTAGTTATGAGGGCGTATCCGTAACACAATTTTTTTTTTACATAATCTTTGACCCATTTTTTTTTTGTGGGATCAACTTCGTAATGTATTTTAATAATTCGAACCATCTATCTTTAAGATATTCTTTGAAAGATCATCTCTAACAAAAATCACCTAAATCTGAAAACATATGAACGTTGGATTAAGGGGTTAGGGTTTATTTGTAGGACCATATTTGTCTATTTTTTTCATTAGAAATGAATGTATTAATGGTCTGGATTTGTTTAATTTTTTGCGAGGATGATTTAGGAATAATGTTCTATAAGATAGACGGTTTGGATCGTTAAAATATAATAAAAAGTGGGTCCCAAAACAACATGCCAACAATTATGTAAAAAAAAAGATGTCACGAATCTGCCCCATTAATTATATATAATCACATTGAAATAAACAAAATATAAATGTGTATAAAATATAAACAATGTGGACGTATAATGTTTCATCAAGCATTTTATTATAATTTACTTTTTTATGTTGCAATGACGATATCTCAAACTAACTATGGGATATTTAATATTTCTAGAGTAACATTCAAAGTGCACGGAACTTCTTCCCCCGTCAGGATGTTCTGTGCCCGGATTTCAACATATACAGCAAAATCTCATTCCACGTATCAATGGGCCCAGGCAAACACCAGTGAACACAGTCAGCAACAGTCATGTTCCGGTGAGGTGAGTGTCCGTAGAAGTTAGGATGTCCATCAGGCCTCAGCAACATAGCTTCAGTTGTATCCATTAACCTAAATTCAAGGCCTCTTTTCATACCTTTCTTTTCTGCTGCTTTTAGCTCCTCTACTTGTGCCAAATACATCTCCAAAATACGCCCAGCGAGCTTCATTTCTTCTTTGCAAAAAGGCCTTGTCCTCGCACAATTTCCTCCCTCGTTCCACGCCCCGTTTTCGAAGTGTGCCGGCGAAAACGTCCTCACAAATGTCACCCCCTTGTAGTTTTTGAGGTTCTGAAGGGTCCTGAATACCGTTTGGAATGCCTTATTGTAGCCGTAGTGCGTGAGAAAAGATTTCATGTTGTCTCGTCCGCACTTGTGACACCCTATAACGCGACCATTTTCGTAGTATATCAGCGGCAGGAAGAACCATTGGCCTGCTGAGACGATGACATAATCAAAATTTTCAACCTCAGTTTCCCAAGCCTTGTCTGGCTCGTCCAAGCCTTGTGTAGTAAGCAGGTCCATCTGGATATGGAATCCAATTCCCAGTAAATATTTGGCATTGGTCTTCGTTTTCGATGGTTTTTAATCCACTGGTAATGTTGCTGTTAGGAGATAGCAATGGAGAAGTTGTGCTGTTGTTTATGCAGAGAGGGATTGTGGTGAGCAGAAGAAAGGTGAGGGCTAGAAGAATACCTTTTTTGTAGGTGTTGTTTGGTTGTGTGTATTTTGCATTTGGCAGATCAATGGCTTGAAACTTCATGGTGGAGAATTGTGAGGCAAGATTATAGATTATTGGATTCTTGAAATATATTTATATATGGGTAATATGTCCAATAATAATGTGATAATTGAGGAAAATTAGCAAATAATTTGTTATGGTATGGGTTACCAACCAAATTATGAAGCAACTTTTCTTTTGGTGGGGCATCATTTTTCATAATTAAATACAACCTTGGACAAAAAATAGCAAAGCCACCTTACATATATAATTGCATACACATTATTTGGGGATAATTACCTTCTAAACAGGTGCATGTGCACTAAGTTTTTCATTACTTGATCATTATTGACCTTTTCAGAATTATTTTTTCTGGCGATATTATTTTTAAGGGACACTTTGGATGCGGTCCCTAGCTATCAACATTCTTTGATTGAAACCTTGTTAGTTTTTAGTTTTTGATTGAGGTCCCTGACATTAATGTAATAATGTAAGTTACTATATTTTTTTAATTCAAAATTCAAAATTGAAATTTGTAATTGTTTATATTAATGAGATTTTAAATAAAACCCATAATTTATGGGATTAAAAATAATAAAATATAAATTATACTCTCTATTATATTGTGTGTGTGTATATACATATATGTATGGGTACATTAACCAAAATTAACAAAAAAAGTTATTGTACCAACACATGGATACATTCTCAAATCAACGAAAAAGAATGTACCCATATAAGTTTAAACATGAATTAAAAAATTTGAATGGATTTTATATTAAAAAAAGGGTACATATTACATATAACAAATTGATATATTTGAGAATGGGTACATTTAAGATTTAAAAAATTGAAAAATTATATGAATGGGTACATTTAAGATTAAAAAATTGAGAATCTTTTTATATATAAAAAAAAACTAATAGGTACAAACTTAATTTAATTTAATTTTTTATTATTTTGGAAATGTTTGAATTGAAAATTAATTAGAAGTTTAATAGAGGTGTGAGTATTAAACCCTAAATTAATTACTAATTTTTATATTAAAAAATTATATAATAAACATGTAAATTCATGATCACATTAATGCTAGGGACTTGAATCAAAATTTAAAAACTAATAAGGTCTTAGTCAATGAACAGTAAAAACTAGGGACCGGATACTAATTTTTCCTATTTTTAATTACACTAATGTATTGTAAGAGATTTGAACTCAGGTGCAAAGAGCTGGTACACTATCCTAATTAACCAGCTTAAATCGCATCAGCTTCCTTGACCAGATCTATGGTAGCCTTACCTTGCTTGGCTCATAGTTGTGGCGGATCTCAATAGAAGTGGTAAAGTTGCATGTTGAGATGAGCCAATTGCTGGAGACGAGAAATAAGAGGATTTCGTTTCTCGGATAGTGTAGGTCAGTGTAGGTTTCTTTGTACTGCATCAACCGGATAACATCTCGACTAGCGAGTGATGGAAACAACCGCTTGTGAGCTATGTGGTTTTGATGTAGCCTCACTTGTTAACGATGATTTGATGTGGTATCGTTTGTGTTGCGGTGACATTATTTGTGCTCTATAATTATGTTGCATCTGCCATCTTTGTGGCATATTTGTACCGGGGTGCTTGTGCTAGTGTGAGTGTGTGTGTGATTATGGTAGCCAATTAGAGAATTATCGTCATTGTTTATTTGTGTGAATTACCTTCTGATCAAATATTTGGTCACTGAAAATTGTATCCATATGCCGACCCTTGTAATTGCTAATGTTATCATTAGTAATGGAAAATCGCTCTTGTTTCATTTATAAAACAAACTCGCATCTGCTTCAGAATTAGCCAAAATGAATTTGATTCATTCATTCTTGGGATAAAATCTTGCCAACAATAATTGAGTGCATGTATACTTTGGCTTATTTCATATGGATGGTCATCAGGTACTTTGTGCCAGAAGTGATTGGAGTATGATGGCCAGGTCTGCAGTGGCTTGAGAGTGAAGTCAGAAATGATTGTAAAGTGGAAAGTTCTCAGATTAGGCTCGTGGTCTCCACTGTTCACATCGTCAATGTTTGGTTTGACAATAATGCAGCTTTGGCTACATGTCTATGGACTTTACTTATCATCGGGAACAAAATTATGCATAGCATAGTGACGGTAGTTTTCTTTGAAGTGTGATTTAATAGAGGTAAAACACTGTTATAACCCGAAACCACATTCTCGTTATCAAAGATTGAGTTATTAACTTATTTGCCACCAAGAGTTGCTTGGTTGCTATCGCATTTACCTTGACAGGCTGTCTATTCAAATCGTTTCTGAAGTGAATTGAGACGAACAATTAAAATGGGTATTCACTGTAGACAGGTAAACAGGGTGACCTAGTAATGTTGATATATGAAATTTACAATAGTGTAATACAATTGCACATTTTTTACCGATTAGTTGTGCACGACGTCCGTCCTTATTAAGTTAAAAGGACAAAATTTGTATCGATAATGTCAATAACGTGTAAATATAACAAGTTGATGGTTTGTTTATTTTGATATACATTGAAATGTTGTTTAACAGTATTATTGATGGGTTCTGATATTTTGTAAGCTGTGAATATGCTTGATCATGGCCACAGGTAGGTTGCAATTCCCAACTAGCCTCCTCTGGGCTCAGAAGGTTGAATAACTGTGGTTTGTCATCAGTTGTTTCCTTCTTTTTAAGGAAAAAAAAATATTGATGGTTTATCAACATAGTATGTCTTTTAAGAAAGAACCAACATCATCATGTCCTGAGAATTACATTTCTAACAATCATCAACAAACATGTCATATGATCTAAAAAAATTAGTTTAAAAAGTTAGTCTTCTTAACATTACCCTTATATAAGTATATACGTTGTGTGGAATAATCTCGCAAAGTAAAAGGACAATGATAGCCATTTAATGCTTTTCCAATTACAGAGAATCTAAAACTTGTGCAATATCCCTCTGTATACAAAACTACAACCAAATGGGACCAATAGCTTCAAAACAAATATATTCGTGGTTGAAAAAGTTGTGAGATAGAGGCCAGTAAAATCAATCTCATCACCTCTACTATCACCAACACCAAGTCCTTTTCATCCTCCATTGGAGTAAAGCATTAAACAGTTTTGTATAGCTCAGTACCTGAAAAAATGGGGCTGGATATAATTGCTATAATTGTTTAAGTTCTCTTTTAAAAAATAATAGGGTGAAGGGTAGGCTGTACGTTAAGCAATGGGGCAATTTTGCTGCCGGAGCAGCATGTTCATTAGAGATAAAGATAAAGCATGCATTCCTCTTTAAGACGATGAACTCATTCATCTACTTATAAGTTTATAAAGTGTATTTACCATAAAAACATTTAAAATCGGAATCACTCTATCTCTTAATATTTATTTGAAGATCATTCATACAAAAGATTATTCGAATGGAATATCATTTAATCATCTAAATGTATGAAATAAATTAACAGTTCATCATCAATATGCAACTTAGTATCTACACTGATGATTTAATAATACATGTAAAGAATACGCCAGGCAATGAATTAGCCATAGCAATATTATTTGCGGTGGCTTTTCACTGTGCTCTTTTCTGTCTTTTTCCGCCTAGTGATATTATTGCAGGGGTTTTTCACCTAGTGATATTGTTTGCGGTGGTTTCACCCTGCTCTTTTCTTTCATTTTTCACCCTGCTCCTCTCTCCGTGTTGGTTCATGAAGATTATGAGAACACACTCTTTTACTTCACATGTGCCATGACCTATGTTCTTGTACCTTAAAGGAGTAAGATTCCCTCCTCTCGTATTTCCATCCCCTTCCCTCTCCTCCTCTTACATATTTTTTTTGTCTTATTGTCTTTATAAAAAATCAATATAAGATGTTGACATGGTTAAACTGTAACCGTTCAAATAGGAGAAGCGGGTGTTAGAATATAAGTATGAAACTAAATATTATAGCCGGTTGTAGTGTTTCAATTGACATAGAAAAGTCTTGTTAGAAAGCTAAAAATTATCCTAATTCTTGTAGGATTGTAATTCAGATATGATTTGGATTCATAGCTGGTATCCTATGGTGTTTCTAATAGGATCGAATTATTAGGATTGATCAATTATAAATAGTGGCCAATGCTCTCACAAAATACACGCTCAATATTGAACTAAGACCTATTGTTAGTTTGAGCACTTTTGATTTTGCAAGAGAGGAGAAGGTGCACTGTTTAGAAGTCTGGTTTGGCTTCTTTCTTCTACTGTTTTTACGGGTTAGTTTGTCATTGTATTTATTGAATTGTGATTTTAATACTTGTATAAATTTGTGATTCCTGAGCTTAATCTCTTAACTTATATTTATGATAAGTTTAAACTTATTTGTGGTATCAGAGCCTAAGATTGTTGCTCTTGAATTCAAATTGAAAGTTAAAAAAAAAAAAAAAAAAAAAAAAGCAGCAAAAGACGTGATGGTAAATTAGCAGTGGTCAAGCTTAGTTTGTGAGATACTATGTAGGTTTTGAATTGAGTTTGTTATATGCATATCATGTTTGCCGCAATATAGGTTTGTAATATTTGTGATTGCTTGCCAAACGAATGATGGCTAAATGTTGAATTCAATTTGGTAAAATTGAACTATTAAGCTTCAGCAACTATTAATTTTTCTTCTGTGTGTTAGATTCCATGATGATGAATTTTTATAAGAATTAATCAAGGATTCATTGGGTAATTATGGAACGCGAGTACATAAGTTATTGTTTTTGTGGGTTTGATCGGTTTGGATTAATAAATTTGATTATAAAGATGTTCATAAAATATGCCTTTGTACAGACCAAATATAAGTAAGATTTTAGAAAGATGAAATCTTGGTTTGAAGACATTAATAAGTTTTTTGTTTTTCCAAGAGATATTAACGTTTACGGTTTGTCTTTTTGCTGGGAATTTGTGTTGACGGGATTCAGGCCATCACTTTGGTGATGATTTTGGTTCGGCGGGTCTGTAACAATGGCGATGTACTTCGATAATCTGCGATGATACGGGTCCACTGGAATTTGTTACACCCACCCCTAATTTAAATTGTATTTTCACTAAGTTTGAGATTATCTTGCTTTTAAAATTGTTTTTAGGTCTTAAATGGTGTGCCCAAGGGGCCCACCCCATGTTTTGTCCCCCGTTCCCTTTCCCTTTCTTTTATTTTTTTTCTTCTTTCTTCTGAAAAGTCTCTATTTCTCTCTTCTCCCTCACTCACCCTTACACTCTCTTGGCTCTCTCTAGCTCAGCCCCTCCAAGGGCTTTTCTTACCAACAAACATCACCACAACAACATCAACATCTCCATTAGCACCCTAGTGAGCTTAGAATCGAAGAAAGGACACCTCAAACCTTTCTCTTCCATTCGGCTGGTACTGTTCATCGTCTTTCCCGATGAGTTTATGGATTTTTCAACGTTGGTAAGCTTCTAGAAACCATTGGGATGTGTTTTAGGGTTAGATTGAAGCTTGTTTTAAGTTGTGTATACGTTTGAATTACAGAAAATTGCTCGGGAAAGCTTTTCCAAATTTTCCAGCGAGCACCGTCAATTTCGAGATAATTTCCGGCCAAACCACTGTGAGTTGGCCGGCGTGCAAGGTATCAATCTCTTCGTCTCGTCGAGTACTAAAGCTTTCCTTTTTTTCACTCAATTTCGTTGAGTATTGAAGAAGTTATACTCATTTGAATCTTACCCAGTTTCCGGCGACCTCCAAGGCTTTCAAGGTATTTTCCGGCCAAACCACAGTGAGTTAGATGTCATGTGAGGTACCATTATCTTCGTCTCTTCGAGGGCTACAACTGTCATTTTTGAATCACTTGATTTCGTTGAGTTTGGACAAAGTTATGGCCGTTTAAAGGTTGTGCATTTTCCAGCCGATTTTCGGCTCTCTCTCCCATTGGGTCCGGCGACCCACCAAACCCAAGCCCTTTCGGCCTTCCCTGCCGAGCCCAACCCTTTTGGTTGTGAGGCCTTTGGGCTGTGAGTGTGTGTGTGTGTGTGTGTGTGAGTGTGTGTGTGTTGTGTGTGGATTTGGGCTTAAGCCCAAACCACCCCTTTTGTACTTTTGTACCTAACATATCCAAAACCAAAACCCAATAGATCCTAACCTTATTTCAACCTAAACCTAAACCCTAATCCGGATTTCAAGCCTAAAACCCGTTAGACCTAATTTGACCGTTGACCCCCGGTCAACATTGACTTTTCGGGTTTTCGTTCGGGACCCTTTTTAGGGTAATTCGACATTCTGAATCTGTTTCCAACGTCCGTTTTTCCAAATTCAATTGTTATAATACACTTTTATTAATTGGACCATTTATGTGCTTAGGGGCAATATTTGTGACGTTTTCGTGGTTGCTAGTTGCGTGGCTCTTCGGCGGTGAAGTACTGTGAGTGTACCCCTTCAAAAACATGTTTTAATAATAGAAATGCATACATGAAAAGCATGATTTAATACTTATGTTTTATGAAGTACTTTATGAGATAACATGCTTACTGAGGCTAGATTGAATTATTACTATTTTTCCTATAACCCATGTTCTTATAGAATATCTGATGGATGACGATATGATATTTAGAACATGTTTAGAACACCTCTTTATAGTATAGATGATGGATGACTTTATACTATGAAGTTGTTTTTCAATATTGATATATTCAATGGTTTTGTACTTACCTAGTGGTCATTTCCGCTACAGGATGTAGGGATAGATTCCGGTCCGTCCTGGGCGACGGTTTGGTGTTGGCATAGGGCTTGGAGGGTGTTTCCTCTAGCATTTAAGACCAGGGACGGGGAGCCGGCATGGGGCCTAAAGTGTATTTTCCTCTGACTGTCTGCTCAGAGACGGGGAGCCGGCATGGGGCCTGGGGGTTATCGGACAATTCACTAGCGATTATTATATATACAAGTTATGATTTGAGATACTGCACATCATGCTAGGTTTCGGAAAACCTATGTTTTACATTATATGTGTTTTCATAAAATCTAGGGGTTAGTATGTTGATAACTGTTTTATTATATATATCAAATTGGTCCACTCGTGTTTGTTTTGCGCCCCCTTCAGGACTTATAATCGAGGCATACAATCTCAGCATCCAGGCACTTCCGCATCGGTATCTTCGAGGCCTCTCGGTGTAGGACCCACTCCTGTGTTCATTCAATTTTTATATTAATTCTTTTAGTATTCTAGTTAGATGTGTACTCTGAACACGTTCCTTAAATGCATTTTCCTTATTATTTACCATTTATAAGTTTTATCTATCCCTTGTTTTCAGCATTTGCACTCAATAAATGGCTTTCGTCACCCTCGGGTGTCGGCTAACACGTGCCTATCCTGGTATTCGGGGAATATCGGGGTTGGGGCGTGTCAGAATCTGTGGTGATGATAATCCACATGGATGGGTCTCGAGGATTGATGGATAATTTGTTTTGTTGATTTGTGGTCGGGTCAACAAATATGGGTCCGGTGATGCATTTAGGTAACTCAGTTCATTGTTTCATGCATGATTAATTTGTTCTCTTATATGCATGATTATAGTGTGATGAGTTAGAGCATGATGAATTAGGGCTTTCATAAGGTTTTATCTTGAATCCTTTTCTGCTAAACCTTTCTTCTCAGTTTCGAACATTTGTTATATCGTGTCATTTTGCTTGTAAAATTGAGTGTCGTGCATCAATTATATTTTGATGGATATTATATAATAAAAGTTATATTATATAATATCAAGGGGCTTCCAAGTATAAAGAAGCACAAACACAAATCTATTTTAATATATACATGGATGCATAATGTGTTGGTGCATGTATCTGAATGAACATATATATGTGAAATATGTTTTGGCTAGAATCATTATTGTGCATATATGGCGGATTTGTATACATTGGGTTTTATCTTATAATGATCTTATTTTTCATTAGTTGACCCAAATTAGATTTTGTGGCTATATATATTGATCGTAGCCTTAAAAATTTACTTGTATGATTATATAGGTCAAGCTATAAATTTTGAGAATTAGCTTGTGTCATCTATATGCAGGAATGAGAAACAAATTAGCTTATGTGACATGTTGTCCATATTTTTGTACAACACAAATTGACATTGCCGAATGCATATTGATTTAATTTATGAATTCATAAGAAAGCATGTGCTTATTGTATTGTGAAAATCATGGAGTTTAAGATGCATTCTTATTGTATAGGTGTATTTGTGATTTCATTTATGATGCATGCTTCCGCAATTATGTTTTGATTGAAATCTCAAATAGGGAGGAAAATGAATTTTGAGATTCCAAAAGAAATAGTGGTCTTGATTATCTCGTTTTAATCAAGACATATTGTTGTGATATATATCCAGACATTATCAAAATTTGGTTGATCTTGCTCGATGGATATTGAACTAGATATTGAATTAGTTAGGATCAAATTGAATGCAAAAATATTGTGCTTGCTATTTTGATTTTGATAATTGTTGAAACTGGTGATTTTGGGTTTATGTGAGATAAGTTTTTCCGAATGGATTGTGACTATCTTTTGATACATAGACTATTTGCATAATGGTTTAGGTGTATATTGACTAAACTAAGATTATGCAATTGGTGAGGAATTGGGAACCAATTGGTTCATATCTCTGGTTTCTTTATTGGTTGTGCAATACATTTTGCTTATACTTAAGTGGGAGAATCATATGTTTGAATGTAAGCATAAGGCTAAGAGTATTTAAGCTGGCCATTATAATTCATTTGGATGCTTGAAAACCAATTTATGGTTTTATTGAAGCAATTGGTTGAATTAGTTATCTTACTTAATTAGTTTAAGTAATGAGAAGTTTAGTGCTATTTGTTGGAGCTAAACTTGACTTGATATAGTGGGAGCAAACTATTTTATGTGTTTGTTCTGGTCAAGTAAAAACACATTTTTATATATACAAATTGGATGCATGTGATCATGGAATCTGTTTGCATATTGGTTGCAGCAATGTTTCTTTGATTCTACATTTTGAAATGTATAGATATAATGTATGTGATGTGAATTTCTTATGCGATGAGACTAAATGATCACATTGATCATTTCTATTAAAAGTTTGCGAAGCTGAAAATTTAGCGTAGTTCATGCTCAAGTGGGAGAATATAAGATATAAAGATATGAGCATGATAGTAAGTTGGTATTGATTTTTGACAGCTTGTATGATTCAAACTAGAATAGAAGGTCATATGATAAGAATGCTAAGGAACTGGATTGAAACTACACGAATTTGGTTTCCTATGTAGATTCTGATAAGTCATTCAGTGTATTGCAATGATTGTTAGTTAATGCAGTTGATATTAACTTGTACTTAACTTGGTTGTGTCAAGTATGGCCTAGATGAGTGGGAGCAAATTGGTTTGGTTTTGCTACACAACGTTCACATAATTACAAAGTGCAAATTAAGTATGTTGTGATTTTTGGGTTAATTCTATGATGTAATAGAAAAGATTATTAAGTTCCATACTTTAAAATGCATTGGTAAGTTGTATGTGAGGTTAAGCTTTTGCTATCCAAAAGATTTGGCGATCATTTCTATGAATATGAAAGACTGTGTGATTAATATGTTTCATACTCAAGTGGGAGAATGTTAGAATATGAGTATGAAACTGAATATTATAGCCAGTTGTAGTGTTTCAATTGACATAGAATAGTCTTGCTAGAAAGCTTAAAACTATCCTAATACTTGTAGGATTGTAATTCAGATATGATTTGGATTCATAGCTGGTATCCTATGGTGTTTCTAATAGGAGAATTATTAGGATTAATCAATTATAAATAGTGGCCACTGCTCTCACAAAATACACGCTCAATATTAAACTAAGACCTATTGTTAGTTTGAGTACTTTTGGTTTTGCAAGAGAGGAGAAGGTGCACTGTTTAGAAGTCTGGTTTGGCTTCTTCTTCTACTGTTTTTACGGGTTAGTTTGTCATTGTGTTTATCGAATTGTGATTTTAATACTTGTATAAATTTGTGATTCCTGAGCTTAATCTCTTAACTTATATTTATGATAAGTTTAGTCTTACAGAGGGAAGGAAAGAGAGATTAGGAGGGTAGAGAATCCTCATTTTTCTTCTGCAAAATGTGTGGTATGAACAATGATTTACGAGGGAGGACGAAAATGAGAGGTCGAAAAAGAGAGGTCGACGTTTAAAGAGCCTGGTTTTTGTTTTCTACCATAGCCGAAACTGGTATGTGTTCATTTGCATGGCAGAAACCACCCAGAAACCAAATGGAGAAAGAAGATTCAAGACCACAACTGCCATATCTCCTTTCCATTTATTGTAACTGAGGAGCTTGGCCCCAAAAAATGGCTAAGGAGGAGACTATATTTGATCAGCCTGATGCCCCTTTTGCTAAATAATAGCTCGATGAGCTCCATAGAATTAAGCCTAGTCATTGATTGAAGATTAGTTTTTGAGCAAATAATGCCATTTTTTAGCTTTTGACCTATTTAGCCTTCTCCATTGAAGATAACCTAAAAACTTCTCTATCTCTAGCTAGCAGGCTTGTAAATCCTGTTCTTTAAACCCTAGCTGAATTGTAGCAACGTGTATGTATTTCTAGTTACTCTTAGTTTCTTCTGTAATTATTACTTATATTTTAAATAATTTTGCATTAAAATATTTCATACAGGGTTCAGTTAACGACAATTTTCAAATTCATCGAATAATATATTTGATTGACCAAAAAAAAAATAATCAAATAATTTATTTGGTATGCATAAACACACATTTTTTTTTTGTACTTGCTGTTTGAATGCTTTTAATCGAATTCAACCTAGAATATTATACTTTTAATTTGGATCTATATTGCATGGTCTTAGGCACATTCATCAACCAAATCAATTTTCAGATAAGGAATTCGAAATACGCTAATTAAATTTTGCAAAAAAAAAAAAAAAGAAGGAAAATTTCTATGGAATTGAAATGTAATTTTAATAAAGTTCATTACATGCTTCGGCATTTAATAATTAATATGTCAAATGAAATAAAAAGCTTCTAGACAAACGAGTTCACATGAAGACACAATCCATTTTCTTTTTCTTCTTTGCCTGCATCTGAAGAAAAGGAGTCCGACTGCCAAGGGTTGTAGAGGCCGACGGCATAGAAGAGGGCATAGCATAACGACAGTCTCCAAATTCGGTTGGCGACACTAATTGAAGACCTCCAGATTTTCTTTTGTGAGGCTCATGGGTGTGTTGCGCTGATGGAAGCATACTTAGGGGTGGTTTGGGAGTGAGGTGCTTAAAAAAAAAGCACCTATGAAAAAAAGCTGTGAGGGTTTTAGGTGTTTGGTAAACTGAAAAAAAAGGCTTATTTTGGAAGCTGCTGTGAGAATAAGCTGAAATTAAAGGAAAAAGCTGAAGCTGCTATTTGTAGCTTTGAAAAACTAGCTTTTTTTTCAAAGCACACGGAGCTACAATGCTTTTTTAATGAAAAGACCCACTATCAAACTGTTTTTTTTTTCCAAAAGCACTTTTACAAAAAAGTTTATCAAACACTCTGCTAATTTATTTCACAGCCGCTTATTCTCACAGCACAGCCGCTTATTCTCACAACAGCTTTTTTTCAAAGCACAGCAATACCAAACCAGCCCTTAAACCTTCAAGAGTTTCATCCTTAAGAATTTACCTCAAGGTCTGAGAAGAGACAGAGAATCTCAGGGAGAAAGATGCATTTCTCTGGGGTTCTAGTCACTGACGCGAATGCCTTGTGGCATATGATGGCAACTATTGACAGCCTGCTGTCAAATGATCAGGGTGAAGATCAGCTTGTCGATGTGGTGCAAATGTTGGCACCGTTCACTGTGAATTTCACTTGTTGTCGAGGAGTCTGTTGCATCTACTATCACAAATATCTATT